TATTGAGATTTGGTGCTCACTTAGTCTGCCCCTTGAGTGTGTCACTTATGGATGTGAAGAGTTGTAATCTGGTATGATCTCACACTGACCACTGTCTCCAAATAGGTGCAAAGTTAGCTTCTGCCTGAGGCTACCCAGCAGGAGCTAGAGAGAGATCTGCAGATTCCTCTTTTATATTTGTGGTTTGGAAGTGCCCAGCTGTGAAGCAATGCAAGCTGCTGTGGGTCCTTGGGCCTTCTTTTGGATGTTCTGGGTTTCTCTGACACAGCTGCATATGGTAATTTTAGATTGCAAAGGGCCAGGGCATTCATATGCAAAAGCCTCTACACACAGCTTGGGTGGGGTGGGGTGGGGTGTCAGGGAATCAACAGGGTGGAACAAACAGGCCCCGGGTCTCAGTGTCCTGTGGTAATTGCTGCAAGCACCTCTGAGAGAAAGCCGCCCTTGAGTTCTGCCTGATGCCAGACAGTCCAGTTTCTCACATATGAGCCTGGGTCTCCAGAGACTAGCCCGGAACTGGAGTTCAGAGCAGTCAGGAGCTTGTGTATCCCTCCCAATTGAAAAAGACAACTGTGTCTTCAGTTGCCAGCCCCTTCCGCGTGCGCCTCTGTACCTCTGCACTTTACTTCCCCACCTCCTCTGAGTCTCAGTGTGCTTTTCTCTTTCCTTGTAGTTGTAGAATTTCTACTCAGCCAGTCTTCCTGTGGTTCTGGATGATGTCCATTTTGTCTTCTAGTTGTATTTTTGATGTGGTTGTGCGAGGCAGCAATTTCAGGTGTTTACCTATGCCGCCATCTTGGCTTCTCTCTCCTTAAACTTCTTATAAAATTTAAAAAAAGACTTTTTCAGTCTGTACTGTGAGAAAAACCACAAAAGGTAGTCAATTACACTGTACACAATCCTTAGAAAACCAGACAGGGCCCCAAATAATAGGAACCCTACTTGAGAGGCTATGGGGAAGACAGAAGCCATTTGCAATAGGGTAGTACAATGTTAATATTGTGGATGGGAATACTGAGTGAGTGTTTTTGTATTTCAACAAATTTTCACGTCCTTGAATTAATTTTATTTGCCAGGTTTCTTCCTCTGGATACGATTTCATATATTGTACATTTTTTCCTTTTACGTACAATTACTGAGCACATCTACAAGTGAATATTAAGATTGTGCAGACATGACAGCAAAGGCCCTGCCCTCGTGGAGCTTACATTTTACTGGTCAGCAATTCTGGTATGCCCATCACTGCCAGAGGCGAAGGATAGTCACAAGCATAATAAATGAGAGAAGTTCATCAGAAGTCTGATGGACATCTTCAGCAGGGCTGAGGATCTGCATATTATTACCTGCTGCCAAACAGCTGAGGGCAATTCCCCTGATAATCCTTTGTTTACCAAACCTGACTTTGGATATGTATATCTGCTTTGCTAAAGGGCAAAATGTGTTAATAAAAAGCTGTAGGTCTGGAGATTCGGGGAGCTTCGTCAATAGAGCTAATTTTCCGCCCGGCTTTCCCCCATGCCTTCCAAATTTATATTTCATGTCTAGTCTCTATTCATTTATGTCGCAGTCCCTTCTCCAGATTCCTGAACCCTAGTTGCAGAAAGACTGGGGCACATCATTGAACTTTTATTAAAGGCCAGACCAAACTTTTCCTTCTAAGCACCATCTCCTAAGTAACATCTAATAAATGTCAAAATTCTGAATGTAGTGTTTACTGCACCACTTACAAAGGTTCTTTGCTGCATGATCTGCTGAAAACAGATGTTTTCTGCTCATGCTTAAACACTGACTAAACTAAAACAACTATTTTCTCTCCTGTGAGACCTGGTGATAAGAATTCAGGTTGTGTGTGAGTTTTTAAAACATCATTTTGTGGAACTTCTTTCCTCTGACAATTCTTTGATGTTCTTACTCTCATCATCTTTGTAAAAATGGATAAATCACATGAATTTTGTTATGTCTTACAATACTTGATTTCCAACTGAAGTTCTTACCACATATCTCACAGTTGTAAGGTTTCTCCCCTGTGTGAACTCGCCTGTGACATTTCAGCTGTGAAGACTGACTATAGAGTTTGCCACACACATCACATTTGTATGGTTTCTTTCCAGTGTGGACACTCTGGTGAACCTGAAGACCCGAGGCCCGACTGAAACACTTCCCACACTCCCCACATTTATATGGTTTCTCTGTTGTGTGGATAATCTGATGCGTGTCAAGATTCAAGCCCCACTTAAAACGCTTCCCACACTCCTCACATTTGTATGGCCTTTCTCCAGTGTGGACTCTTTGATGGGATTTAAGGTGCGAACTCCGAACAAAGCTCTTCCCACACGTGTCACATTTGTGTGGCTTTTCTCCAGTGTGGATCTTTTCATGGGCTCGAAGGTGTGAACTCCGCCCATAGCTCTTCCCACACTCATCACATTTGAATGGCTTTTCCCCACTGTGGACTCTCTGATGGACCAGAAGATGTGAAGCCTGAATGAAGACCTTCCCACACACCTTACAATTATAAGGCTTCTCAAGTTCGTGGATTCTACCATGGATTTTAAGATCTGCTCTACGACTGAATCCTTTCCCACATTCTTCACATTTGTGTGGTCTCTCCCCAGTATGGAACAGCTGGTGATCCTGAAGTCGTGAACTCCGATTGAAGCCCTGGCCACACTTTTCACACTTAAAAGGTTTCTCTAGACAGCGGGCCTTCCGATGGGATGTAAGATGTGACCTCTGACGGAAGCCCTTCCCACATATGTCACATTTATAGGGTTTCTCTCCTGTGTGGACCACCAGATGAACTTGATAATGGATTTTCATCCTGAAGCTCTTCCCACACTCCTCACATTTGTATGGCTTCTCTCCTGTGTGGACCCTCTGATGGATATGAAGATTTGAACTACAAGTGAAACATTTCCCACACTCTTCACATTTGTACGGTTTCTCTCCTGTGTGGACCATACAATGGCTATTAAGTGCTGACCTACAACGGAAGTTCTTCGCACATATACCACATTTGAATGGTTTCTCCCCAGTGTGGATTCTCTGATGTACCCGAAGATGTGAAGCATGAATGAAGCCCTTTCCACAGGTTTCACAATTAAAAGGTTTCTCCCCTGTGTGCAATTTGCAATGAACATTAAGTGCTGATCTTCGACTGAAGCCTTTCCCACACTGCTCACATTTGAATGGTTTCTCTACAATGTGGACTTTCTGATGAGTTTTCAGATGTGAACTCTTACTGAATTCCTTACCACACTCATAACACTTATAGCGTTTCTTTCCCAAGTGAATTCTCTGGTGAATATGGAGTGCTGAACTATAACAGAAGTTTTTTCCACATTCACTACATGTATGAGACTTCTTTCCTGAATGTATTTGCTGATGAAGATCAAAGTTGGAGGCATCACTGAAAGACTTCTTACATTCATTATCCTGGTAAAGTTTCTGGCCTGTGTAAGTTATAAATAGTCCTGCTCCAAATTGGCCAGGCGAATCACCTTGTTTGGGAACCTGGGAACTCTTTATCATGAAGTCTTGATGCCTGATTAAGTCACTTGCAATCTGTTGCCAGATGTGCCAGCAGGAAAGCTCTTTATGAGGTTCTGCTTCTGGAACGGTCTCTGTCTCACTTGGGATCTTCCCTCCTATAAAGACAGATAATGAAGAGAAATGAACAACTGAAGGCTTTGTTCAGTTGGGGTGCTTCACTGGGCTGGAAAAAGTTTAACTAACTCAGAAAGCAGGTCTAATTAAGCAAGTTTATTCTATAGACATAAAAGGCTAAGTTGAATTGCACATGCGTGATACATATAAAGCTCTTGTTGTTGCCAATCGCACGCATGTGTTTGGATCTGTCATTGTCAATCGTGAATTTGGTTGACACTTCTATTATAGAGAAAGGGCGAATAGTGATATTAAAATATTCATTCTAATTAATTTCCTTTTAATGTGCATGAATTTGTGCACTGAGCCACTAGTTTCTAATGAATAACAAAGTTAGTGTCGACTCTTGAATAGTAAATCATGTAGTTATGTAGAAAAAAAAGTTACATAAATAAAATATGAATCAAATAGAACCTTAAGGAAAAGCAATAACAAATACTTTGAATTTTAGGTTCATGTAATATAATCTAATATCCAATACTTTAAAGTATTTATATTTACATATTCAAAGTATTCCTGGAAATTCTGCAACTCTTACAAACTTTTGACCATATCCAGTAATTTCAGTTTAAAAATGTATTTTTTAAAAGATTTACCCTTGTTGGTATTCCAAAAACATTGTTTATACAAAGTTATCTAAACATGTGGAGATTAGTTTCTCAATAAAATTTTCAATTAGTTTAAAAAGTACTTCTCTTAACCCTACCAGACTGCTGTACCGATTTTTTGGTAATTTCCGAATCTGCCGCTATACCACTGTACCTAATTTTCGGCACTTTGCCTAGTATGTGGAAAAATTCTGAAAATTCACAATGAAACGAGTGGCTGATGAACCAAGCACTTCAACAGGAAAGCAAAGTAGGTCTAGACTTATCACAGTCCAACAGTTGATCAATACTTTGGTTGATTCAGACCCTGAGGAGTCAGAATTTCATCAAGAATATGTTTCCAGTTCAAGTGACACAGTGAGAGCTCGAGTGATGAGGAGAATCTTGAACCTTATAGATCTAGAGCTAGATTGATAGTAAGAGAAGGGGTGTGTGTCCCTCAAACAGCTGATGGGGGAGATCTAGGTGGTGATGAAGGTTGGACAAGGAATTCTGTATCACCAAATACAGATCTGAATTTCACTGAGGATGGAAAAGGCCCAGTGAACATTCCTGGATCTATCACAGAGGAGAGTGAACAGATTGCCAAAAATTTCAAGGATGCCACAGTGGAAGAAATGAAGGCTTTTCTTGAACTGAGGATCTGTATGGAATACTTATGTATAAAGCCCAGCTATCGGGATTATTGGACAAATGAGGGCTCTGACTTTGTTGGGTTTACTCCTGGATTTCGAAATGTTATGACTCGAGACAGATTCCTGGCCCTTTGGAGTTTTGTACATATAACTGTTGAGGAAGACACAGATATCGATAAGACGGATAGAATATATAAAGTTAGGCATTTCTTGGAAAGTCTGCTCCCCAAGTTTCTTCACTTCTATCTGCCAAAGCAACGTTTGAGCCTAGATGAGGGGATGATCCCGACAAAAAACCGCTTGGCCATCAAGCAGTACATCAAGGATAAGCCCACAAAGTGGAGCATCAAGTCTTTCCTTCTCTGTGAAGGTGAGACTGGCTACATTTTGAATGCAGAAATCTACACTGGTGCTGCACCAATGCCTATGAAAGACTTGGGTGCAGTAGGAAATACAGTTGTTCGTCTCCTGACCTCATGTGCAAAAGAAAATAAATCTCATGTGCTTGTCATGGACCGGTTCTACAACTCTGTAACCCTTGCTAAATATGCACTGTCAGAATTACACACAGGAATTGTGGGAACCCTGCAGCAAAACAGGAAGCAGTTTCCTAAGTCGCTGAAAAGTGTAAAAAAACTTGCTAGGGGTGACAGTTGCTATCTATGTCAAGAAAGTGTAACATGTTTAGTTTGGCAGGATAGAAAGCCCATCACATTTATTTCGAACTACCACGATCCAGCCCAAAATGGAGGTAGTAATAAACAGAAGAAATAAAGATGGCAGTGTGCAAGAAATACAGATGCCACAGCTGGTAAAGGACTATAATAAATATATGGGTGGCTGTGACAAAAATGACCAGATGACCTGCCTTCACCGGTCTTGTCGTCATTACCTCTGCCCCTGGCAGCTTTTTATAAAATTTTTTTATGTGGGCCAGTTATAATTCTTATATCTTGTATGCTTCAAAGCAGCAAGCTGCTTCAAAAAAGCCAGTTTATTTCACCAGATATATTCAGAAACTGTGCCTGCAACTTATTGGTGGATACAGGACATCAGCCCACAGCCACCCACAAAAGGAACCCTTCCCTCAACGGATGACCCCAGGCAATCATTTTCCAGAGATTCCCCCTGGGACATTGTCTAATCATATCTGTGCTGTGTGCATGGAAAAGCACACCAGTTACAACAAGCAAAATCCTGGAGTGTCTTCAAAGACAATCCATGCAAGAAGGTGAAGAGCAACATCTGGTGCTCACTTTGCAAGAAGTACCTCTGTGTGAAACAAGGCTCATCCTGCTGGGTGGGTTGGCACACAAAGGTGGAATATTGGCACTAGATGAAAGGTAGACCTATTTTCTACAATGCCTCCAAGTTCCATCTTATTCTAACCACTTGTTTGCATGTAACTAACATTTTTCTATATCATGTTGGTTTTTTCTCTTTAATGCTCAGGAGCCCAGGTATAGGGGACAGTTGGTACAGGGCCTCAGGTCTGGTAGACTTAAGACTCAACAATAAGAAAACAAAGAATAAATGGGTCAAAAGCTTTAACATACACCTTACCTAAGAAGATATATAGATGGCAATTAAGCATATAAAAATATATTCCAGCCCAGCCAGCATGGCTCAGGGGTTGAGCATCGACCTATGAACCAGGAGGTCAAGGTTCAATTTTTGATCAGGGCACATGCCCAGGCTGCAGGCTTGATCCCCAGCGGGGGTGGGGGGCGTGCAGAAGGCAACCCATCAGTAAATCTCTATCATCATTGATCCTTCTAATTCTTGCTCCCTCTCCTTTCCTCACTGGAATTAATAATAAAAAAAGATATTCCACATCTTATGTGAGCAGGGAAATGGAAATTCAAACAAGATACCACCAGACACATATTAGAATGGCCAAAGTCCAGTATACTGACACCACCAAATGCTGGTGAAGATGTGAAGCAACAGCACCTCTTATTTATTGCCGGTAGAAATGCCAACTGTCCAGCGACTTTGGAAGACAAAACTAATGCTTTTATCATACCATCCAGAGTTACACTCCTTGGTATTTACTAATTGGAGTTGAAAACTTAAGTCCACACAAACATCTGTGCACAGATGTTTATAGCAGCTTAATTCATAACAACAAAACTCAGAAGCAGTTTTTTAGGAAGACAAGATGTCAGCGATATAGGCAGATGCATCCCAGGTTGTGTCCCGGAGCAAATGGAGTAAGCAGCTGAAACTAATAACACCCACCCCAAATTGGCAAAATTACTCAGCTGGTGAGACACTATGCAGCTGGGAAGGGCAGAACTCCCCTGGAAAGGTAAAAAAACAACAACAGGGATATGGGCAGGAAAGTTTGCCAGACCTCTGAGCCCAGAGGGTCAGAGGGAGACCACGTGGCAGACAACCACGTCCCTTGGGACAGGCACAGCCCCTGACTGGGGAAAGGAGATCCGCCGGATTCCTGGCGCCGGGGGACTTGAGATCTGGGTTCTGTGATCACGGGGGACTGAGCCTAAAGGGGGCAGCCTGCAGAGCTGACCAGATCATGCACTGCCAGTAAGAGAAGAGCTTACAGAAACTCAGCCTTCCCCGTTTCCGCGGCTGGCATTTGTTTGTTTGTTTTCACTGAACCCTGTTCATAAGACATTTTGGATACAAACACTCACCTATGCTGAAGAGAGGGAGAAGGTGCGGACAAGTGGAATCTGGGGAAAGGCTGAGGAGAGGGGGGGTACCGGGAGAGGTGGCAGCGAATTGAGTGCTGAGACACCCCTAGACCCCAGGCAAGGAGCACAGCCACACACAGATTCCACCCTGAACAAGATGAAGGATTAAAATAATCTGATTAGTCCCTGGGAGTTAACATGGTCTGGCCGATAGATGGATTTTCAATCCCAGCAAGAACACAGAGCAGGGTAACGATTAAAGAACCAGCTCTGGACAGTTGACCTCCCCAAACCAGTTTTAAGTGCAATAGAGAAAATAAACCCTTGCTACTGGATAGAGAAGCGGTATAGCCTGAGAGGCCAACCCAAAAACACAGCCACCCAGAGGCTGAGCCACAAACTGACTCTTAGTTAAACACAAATTAAGGCAGACTGGGACACAAATACGGCCTGCTTTAAAATCAGGACTGTGGTTTACAACACGGAGGAACAGTGTATCACTGGGAAATTCAAAACC